TTACTGTGACCTCCACATACACTGGGGAACCACGCCAGCCTATCACTGATCAATAGCATTCCACTGAAGCCATTGATAACGCCTTCCATTATACAGTACAAGGCAGTTACTATTTACACTGATGTACTGTAGGTTGGACCTATTCCTATGTTAGTACTAATTATATACTGTAGGTTACAGTCATCATACTATATTATACCTATATATACTAATCATTACAATATGTATACCTGGATATATTTATCATCACACCTCTGCAGAGCACTCACGCACACTGGGGACTCTCTATAAGAGATTATCTTTTGTTCAGGGCCTGCATGATTCAGTGCGATCTCTGTGATCCTATTTCTTTCTACATTTCTACCAAGGTAGACAGACCTCTGGAAGTCCCTCCATATAAAAAAAAAGACAGAGCAGACTGAGATTTGTAACACATAAGCATAATTGTCTTGTTTTAAAAAAAACAGCCTTTTCAAATTGGACAGCAACCAAGGGTCGAGCGAAAATAAATACGTTTCCGTCTGTTGTATTTCCTCCACGCATGATTTGTTTTTCTCTAGGGTGAACAGAGAAAAGTTAATAGAGTCTGCAGTGGGATTTTTCTTGGAATAGCAAAGTTTTCATTAGTTCTGATATGTGCACTTAAGTCCATCATGGGAGATGTTTTGCACACGAGGTGAACGTTTTAAGGCTTCTCTGAAAAACAAAAGGACAGGACAAAAACGCAACGCTGACGTTGGAAGCAGCTACTATCCCTGCTGTTTCCTCTCGGGCGGGCTGTGGTGTGGCCCTGTGAGGTAGACCTCTGGAGACCAAGTGCACTTAGGAAAACCTCCCTGCTGAAATCCAGCATAATCAGGCGGTTTTTCTTTGGCTAAACTGGGAAGAATGGTACTAAATATTAACAGCAAAAACACAGAATTGCTAAGAAATGCAGTGCCTGCAAAATTCAAATGTGGGTACAATCCTACCGTTACAAAAGAATACAATGCGCTAGCAAGAAAGTGCAACATTAGAAAAGGTCCTGTAATTTTAAATCAGAAAATGAAAATTTACATGCATAGCGGAATTAGATACTGAGGCAGAGAATTTCCTTATTTTACAAACTCTCACTAAGCGCAGAAAAGGAATTAGTCAAATAATTAAACAGCAGCACCAGATCCATATTTACACAGCTGCAAAGCGAGCTCAGTAGAAAGTGCACAGTAATGTATTTCCACTCTGTGCTGAATTAGGACCACACTTAATCTTTGTATGCATAATACTAGTAATGTTGTTTTCTTTCCAAAGAACATTAAAAATGGAGACACTCCCGCCCAATTAGCACCACATCCAACTATTCCTATTTCCTTTTTCTGAGGAAATTACTCAAGTATTGGTTACATTCACTCTGCCCTGTGGTGAAATCACACAGTTACCTAAGGGCTGCTGAAGCCCTTCATCCTGAAACCAAGGGCCGAATCTGAGTAAGCCCAAGTTAGCTGGAAATCAAGAAAAGCCCGACTGCAAGAAAACAAATACAAACCAGCTCCATTAAATTCTTGAGTTGGCCGATGTCCTCCGGCAGGGACCCCAGCTTATTGTTGCTTGCTATTAGAACGCGGAGAGGAAGACCGCACAGGCACACAGGCAGGGCAGAGAGCTGATTCCGACTGGGAGAAAACAGAGAGACACGATAAACATTTCGGAACCTTACAGTCACTCTGCTGGAGGGAAACAAAGGGTGGAAATAATAATGCTGGAAGAGTAGCTATAAATTAAGAACGGGGATTATTTTTAACCAATGTGAGGGGATAGTCCATAATAGTTGCAAGTTAGTTAAGGAAGGAATTACAATTTAAAATTAAGGAGGAAAATTAAAGTATTTATAAAAAGTCACAGTGATACAGTACAGTATTTATCATGTATTTCAGTAATTTCCCCCAGCTTCATACTTCTAAGACTAATCCCTTATATAAATCACAACCGGTAACTTTACAAGAATACTTATAAAAGTAACTTTCTGCTTTTTTATTTCTCATGCTGTTTTCCAAATCTGTGCCTCGTGTGCATAGAGGAAATACACACGTGGCACACAAACATCACAGTAAAAATATCTGACATCAGTTCATCCTCTCCTGTGCTGCAATTTAATTAATTGGAAAGGTAGATATTGAAAGCAAGCAGAGGACTATGGTGACACTTCAGGAGACAATAACATGGAAACCACAAGATATGCAATACAAAATCCATCAGACATTAGGAGATACTGTTATGATCGCAACCCCTCCTCTTAAGGGCGCTCCAGCCCTTCCTTGTTAGTTTCATCTCCCGCACCTGTTCCTTGTTCCAGCCCCTTTTCTGTTCCCCCTTAAAAGCCAGACGCTGACGCTAATCTGCATTGGTTCCAGCATCATGCGAGCCTGGAAACCTGGATGCGCCTGGCTCCGTTATGGTTTTAGCTTCTGTTCTTGTTCTCGTGCCCCCTGCCAGTCCCGACCCGGTTCTGGATTTTAATCTTCCGTCTCGGATGGATCGCCTGGCCTTGGACTTATGCCCTGTTTTTGGATTTCTCTTTGGACTCGTCCCTGGATCGTTTGCCTCGGCCACACCTCCCCTGACCACCAGCACTCCATGGACACGCCCCCTGTTCTCTTCCCCGCTTCCTGCATGCCTTTTCCCCCTGTTTTCTCGCTCTACCTTGGATTGTGTCGTCTGCATAGGGTCCAGAAAGAACTCTCCCTGACAGATACATGACATTCAACTCCTTTAGACAGATATTTTTTAAACTTTTGCCAACACATCATCTTTTTTAAAGATAATAAGGGGTAAGAAAAAGAAGGAGGGGTTTAATTTTCCTTTGCAACATTATCTAAAAGACTCACAGACCAACTTTTTTGTTTTTGCCACTTTCGGTCATGACACAGCTAATGCTGTAGGACCGAAACACATACAAAAAGAAAAACCACAGCAGTCTACAGGATATAAATAGCTTTGACCTCATAAAAACAGGATTTCAAGAAGAACCAAGGCTGCTCGCAGCAGCTTAACTCAGGCTGAAAATGGGAAAAATTCATCCTCAAAAATGATCCCGATGAGCCGGCATCTTACCACCCAAAAGCATGTGAGAGATAAGGTTAAAGTACAAACTCATAAAAAACCCGATGTGCATCTATCTCTTCTGAAGGGGCATTCCGAGCTGTAGTATGTGGGCAGACATGGTCATATTTACAATAATTCGATTCTTATGTAATACAGCCAGTCTAAGAATAGAGACAACCTGGTGAAAAACTCTTTGACATCAGCTTTAAAACCCACTATTTAAAAATAGTGCAAATAAAAAAATGTTTTTGGCCAAGTAGGAGACGCAGCAGAAGTAGATGGAAAATTGTAACATTTTTAATTTGACAATAAATTGGACTGACCAGTATCGTGGAAAATAAAGGCTTTATTCACTTAGTTCTGAAATATGCCTAAGAAGGAGAGCCAGCAGCATAACAGTAAGTACATGCAGATATTTATTTTTTAAGAAAGTAAGATGCCAGAACGTCTATATCTTGTATTGAGGCCATTACAAAAACATTTTAATGCATTTCAGGTGAATTGCATTATTAGTGCTTCTGACCTGAATAGATTCTTAATGAATGCTCCCAGAAAAGAGTGATAGTAATTTGTTTAAATGCTGGCAACAAAAAATAGTCAATGAGAGTTGTAAAGTTTTTTGTGTGTAATCAAAACTTGTCAAATATGTCAAAAACCTCCAATCTGAAAGGAAATTATACTAATGCCAAAAGCTAAGCTTATGTCTACTACATATACATTATACTGTTAACTACAGAGGGGTCTTGTGTACAATGACACCTATCAAAGCAAAAGTTATAAAGTAAATAGGATATTCCAGTTTACTGCAAATTCAGACTGAAACAAGACTTTTTTGAAAAATAAAATTGAGTCATTTTCTTCCTCATCAGGCTCAAAAATGTAAACACATGAACTGTTAGAAACAGATGAGAACAGCTGAAACTATTGCAACTTAAGATAAACAGCATATTCACCACCTTTTGCTTTTATTTAAATTCTCGTTTGAGTCCTCTATCAGTTGCTTTCTGTATTCTCTGGCGAATGTTTTGCATTACAAATGACTCTTTGCTTCGCCAGGTTGATGATGTTGTAATGCAAGGGCTACAAACATGTTTTGTTACTCCTTGTAAAAGGACGTTTCCACTGTCCAGGAAAAGGAAATAAAAAAATACTAAAATAAAGTTCAAAGTTCACGTCTGTACTTGTGAACCAGTGCAGGAAAAGCCAAGCACATTCTCTCACTGCATGCAGCACAACAACATGTAACCAAGATAAAGCAGTTCTGTGTAAATACACACCATGAACTAAATATCGCAGTTTTAGGAATATGCATTAGTGACCTTAATGTTTCGTGATCCAGGTGAATTTAGATATTTTTTAAGTGTTACCCAGCAAGTCTTCATTGGAACTTGAAAACGAATTGAAAACTTCCTTGACCAAGGACAGACCAAAGCCCAAGAAAGGAATGGTAGGAGTACCACAGCTGAGAACTACTGTGCTTAGCAGTTTACTTCCAACATTTTCAAAGACTTTAGCACCATAAAAGGGAACCAAGCCCTTCACTTTCAAATCCTACAAGCTCAGAGACATCTTCTGAGTACTGCTGCACAAAATGGCACAGGGCTGTTTCTGTCCCAATGTTGTCGGGGTCAATCTGCCCATAAAATGTCATTTGCTTAGTGATGGATCCTGCTGACAGACTATTCTGTATTTCAACTTGGAACAAAATGCTAAAATCTTTGGAATCTGGCCTTTTCACAATCTACTGCCAGAAAGATAACAAGGCTGTCTCACATTTCTTTACCAAAGAAGCTATGATTTCTACTGGCCACTTGAGCAATAATACCCCCCTTATTTCTCAGATAACCATGAAGAAGGAAGCTTTAACAGGTGTAGGAATTACAGGTAACAATGGAGGTAAAAGAAAGAGTGAAGTACACATCAGCTACAGACAGAGATGTCCTTATACTCCAGACACCTCAGAAACAACGCCCATAAGACATTCTCTGTTCAACAGAACTATGGAACCAGAATTTTATCCATCCATCCATTTTCTAACTGCCTTTTCCAGTTTAGGGTCGTGGAGGAGCTGTGGCTTATCCCAGCAAGCAACGGGCACAAGGCAGGCTACACCCTGGAGGGAGTCATAAATAGCTTTTCTTCACAGCTTTTTTAACCTCAAATTGTGTTAATCAAGACAGACATTATTTTTTTTCCCTCCTGGAAAAAAAAAAACATTTTCTATTAAAACAAAGGTAATCATTATTCATCTCTGTCATAAATGACATCTTACATTGTGTCTTATATCTTATATTGTGTGGTAATTTTATAATGGAAGTACCCTATATTAAGACACAGCTGCCGCAGTTAAACGTCCTCACAAGAGATCACACAGCTCACTGTACTTTCCGAGATTAGTTGTGATTTTTTCACTTTCCTTGGGCAGGCTGAAAGACAAGAGAGCCCGACTGTACGGTAGACTGGTGCTAGGAACTTCCCTGGCAGGCTGAGCAGAACCAGTAAAGTGGTCCAAGATTAAATGGACCTTTCATTACTCTACTGGAAGCTCCTCAGAGTTCCTGTAATGATGTCATAGGGTCTCCCAGCTCACAGATCCATCCCAGAGTTCTGTGCTCAGTAAACAGCAGACTGACGGAGTGCGTGCTGTCCAAGTAAGAACGGTGCTTGTTTTTTTTTTTATGAAGAACGGAACTGTCAACAGAATAACTGGTAACCAGACGTAAGTCAATTTAAATTCAAGATCAAACACAATGATAAAGAAAAAAAACTGTAATCCAGCGAAGACATACTGTAGTACTGGGGCATATCCTTGAGCCAAAACCAATTCTTGCGTCTTCTGGCAAAATTGCTGCATTTGTGAAAGGCACTTTCATGGTCTGGACCAGAACGCTTTTCCCCAGGCATAAACTTCAGGATCCTAGGTGTTGGCCTGCTGGTGAAGGTGTCAGGAGATCCTTTCATTTGGACAAAACCCACAATGTGAAATCATCAGGAGGGACTGGGAAGCTTGTCAAGACTGATCCACTGTACGAGGCCAAAGTTCAGATCGAGAAAGCGAATGTCTTAGAGTGGCCCAGTCAAAGTCCTGACTTGACTCTTAACGAGAATCTGTCGAAAGACTTGAAAATCCTTAAATGACCCCCAGGCCATTGAAGCGAGCCTGAGCCTGAGAATCTACTCAAAAAAGAGAATGGGCTGGAGAAATAGCTACCAAGCTAGTGTGAAACGTTCACACCGACCAACTGAAAAAGACTTGCAGCTGCAAGTGCCACAAATCTTCTTCCACCACAAATCAAGTCCATGGGTCTGAATACGTATGCAACCAGCACATTCCAGTTTTTTCTATTTAGCTTTTGCTTATATCTACTGTAACATGGCTTAGGTTTGAAAATTCAGATTCTGAGTAACATATTAAGTTACAAAAGCTACAATGCATCATCTTATAATGTCACCAAAGCATATACTATACAAGGGGGCTGAATACCTTTTGCAAGGCGGTGACTAAACAGCCAAGGTAGGCTTGTATCAGTCAAGTATTTCTTCTTGTAGTGTCGTCAAACTTAATACTGTTAACACCAGTGAGTGGGTAGGGTAGAGAAACTAAACACTTTAAATCATCTGTGACTACACAGTATTCAACGTCACCTGTCAGGCATGAAGATTTAATTGCACATCAGCCAGAATTCCCGTTTAGAAACCTGCTGCAACCTGGACCTTCAGCCAATACTGGTTTTCCCTTTCTGGAAACTACTAAAGAAATCCCCCTACTGGAGCTCAGGGATACTGATTTTCTTAGAATAATATTTATCTTTACAAAAGTACTTAACCCTTAGAAGGGTTGCCTTTAAATTTGCTAGGAAGGACATTTTATAAGTACTTATTTATAAGTAAAACCCTGTGCAATATTTCACTGCTATGCAACTAAATCATATCCACATACTGTCGAGGATGCGCCCTTGTCCTTCAAGCAGATTAGCACGTCTGGACTGGAAACAAAGCTGTGATGCTAGAAGACATACAGGCCGCAAAGACCACAAGTAGGCTGTACTGTAGGTCACTGCAGGAGTCAAAAATCACAGTAAGACCCTTAAACACAACTATTCACGTTCCACAGAAATGTCCCTGCATCAGAGAGATTCAAGAAATTAGGCTCGTTATGTACCAAGACGGGACAGAACAGGAAATTGTCATAAACGAGCACCAATCTAACAGTTAATTCTTCTTACCTCAAGTTTAAATAGGTCAGCATCTGCAAACTGATGACAGTCTCTGGAATGACTTTAATACAGTTTTGATAGAGGTTCAAAGTCTCCAAAGAGACAAACTGGCACACCTCCGAGGGGATTTCAGTCAGACGGTTCCTGGACAGGTCTGGAAGAAAAAAGCAAAAGAGATGAGAAAGTTAGTTACTAGAATTTATCATTCCTGGCAATTTTTCCACGAAGGAGAAGCAGCCAGAGGTTCTGGAGATATAAGCACTCCAGCCATCACAAAATCTGGAAAGGCAACCTGCTGAGGAGCAATGGAAGATTCAGGCCTCACTCGCCCCCACGAAGACAGGATGAAGGTGGACTTCATGATAGACAGTGAAATTGAAATTATTGCAATTAATAAATTAGTGAAAAAGTGTTTTCATACCCAGTGGATCAATATTTATGCAACTTCAGACTCAGTAAATTGAAGTAATCGGGCTCTTATAATGCTTGGGATACCTGGGAACTCCACTCAGACCCATTTGGAGAGTCACATACAGTATATAGCATTTGGACATCGATCATCACATTCACAATTCCTTCAGGTTCACGAGTCACTATACCTGCAGTGTCACACGTGCACCACTAGATGCCACTCTAATGACCACAAAGAAGTGATTCGGTATAACAAACCATTGATCCCCGTTCCCCTGACTTTCAATAGTGATGCAACCTTTGAGAAGGTCTTCCCAGAATATCCACACACAATGGCACTCACTTCCAACACATTCAGTCAAGTATCTG